GGCAGGTTTTAGATAATTTCTTTATGTCGATTACTTTCCGTTTGATCTTCTCTTTTGTTTGTTTGTTTGTTTTCCCGTTTATCTCTTCAGAAGTTTCGTTTCTTGTTTAATTGCATTACGTCTCTGGTTTTTAGGTTCATTAGTTAACTTGTCTGCTAAACTATTAATGACAATCAGCTTCATAGGGTTTGAGCATAATTTGTTTTCAATTCATGGGATTTTCTTCTGTCTGCTAGGTTTCATTTTTATGTTCGAGAATTAATTCTGGAACTGAAGCATTGAGATTAGCCAAGTATAGGTCATCATTTGCATTAATTCCTGTTTCAAGAGCATTTTTTAGTCCATGTTTATATGTGAAGGATCTTAGATTTAATTCAGACTAATCTTTCATGGTTTAATATGATTCAACAATTGTTTTGAATTTCACTGATTTTCAATCCAGCTGAAAGTGTCAGCTCGTTTGCTTATTGTTTATTGTGATTGTGAGCATTCAGAACTTAGGAGGGGGTAAGTGTATAACTAGGAAAACTTTAGGGGTAGTTTTGGGGATTGGGTTAACTTGAAGAATCTTTTAATAACTGATTGTGAAGCTTCCTAAATGGACAACTGCCCAAAATTACTAGGGAAAACAGGCTGCAAATTAAAAATATCTGAAGGAAATGGACAGCTGTCCAAAAATCAATTTTAAAAGATGCCCGGTGAGGGTATTTTGGAAAAATCTGATTGCCTTGCCTTGGAAGGCACACAACAGACCCCTATCCTTATAAATGGAGCCTTCTTTTCACTCAATACACAGTTTTTTGGGCTCCCTAGAGAGACTAAAAAGATAAGAAGAAATACTAAATTTCAGAATCAATTAATTTCCTTCTGAAAATTCCGAGAAACTGCTGAAAATTGTTTGGACTGTTTTTGATTTCTTGGTTTTGGTTCTCTGAATCTTCTGTTAATCTAGAATTTCTGGAAAAAAAACTTCCAGATTGTGCATCTGGTTAGAGATGTGGCTTAAGCTTTGGTTTGGAGTTGGTTTTGGATTGCCTCTACGATTCAATTGATTTTTCCTGAGCTGATTTCACTGTTTTATTGACTGAATCTGGGCTGATTTCTGCTACTGCTTGCTGTTGATCCTTCACTTCTTTTGGTTTTTCCCTTGTTCATTACCAGGTATTTCCTTCAAACCAGGGATAGAAATGAAGTTTGTTATGGCTGTTATGTTGAAGTCGTGTAATTCAAGTTGAAGAAACTGATTGTTGCTCATTCTCTGTTGCATTACCAGCTTAAAAATCTATTATATTTTGTTTTCATGTTCCTCCTAGATTCATATGAGTTATTTAATTTCTTGTCATTGCCTTTTAGGTTCTGTTACAGTGTTGTATAAATTTTCCTTTTCACTTGCTTAGTTTAAATGCTAGAAGGTTTATAATCACATGTATAAGTGGTAGAGAACTAATGCAAGGAGATTTCAGTAGCATCAAATATGTTTCAGGTCTGATCTGGCCTGTTGAAGCCAGTGTTGTTCTGCAAATGTGCCTAAATTTGTTTTGAGATTGATGTCCCTAAAGTTTGAAATCAGGAACTTTCATGTTGAGGTTTGCACTAGGTGATGAATTTTATATGGTCTGCCTTATCTTTGATGAAATCAGCTGTTTAATATAGATTGAAATTTGATAACAGGGGCATGAATGTAAGATGGTTTTTAAAAGCATTTAATGTTTCATGCATGTCAAGCTGTTTGACATTGATGATTAGGCTCTTTTGGCATATCTTTTTAACTTGTATGTCAGTTTGTTTTCATTTAGGCTCGATTCTGGGTCTTCTGCCCTCAACTTGCATATTTGTAAAGGTTGGGTCTCTTCTGGGCCTGAACGTCGAAGTTATTGTGAGACGAAAGGGGGTTTGTTGCCTTGGGCAGTCCCGTGATTCTCTGCTCAAGGTGGAGATCTTCAGTAAATTATTGGGTCTGCTGCCAGGCCCATGTTTTTCTTTTTTGAATAAATAATGGATCAGATCTTTTCTCTTACTGGACCTTTGAATAACAATTTGAGTTCAAACTTTAGTTTATAAGTAGCATCAATTTCATTGAGCCTTTCCTTAATTAATTAGTTGGTCTCCTAAAAAATAGATTTGAGTTGAGCCATTTTGAATAATGGAAATAGTTGATGGCCCTCAAAAGCTTAATTTCGAATTTCCTTTAAGAATGGGGCAATCGAGGCGTGCCATTTAGTTGAATTTTTCATGGCCCTCGCAAATTTAAATTGCGTAGTTGCTTTAGGCACGCTATTTTAAAAATTACCTTCTTAAACTCGGGTGTGCATTTATGTAATCCAAATCCAAATCTCGACAACGTTAGATAAAATGTGTCGTGGATCGCGGGTGCATTTATGTGACGTGTTTCAAGACATATTTTAAATGACGTTGCAAAAATGATTTAAAATGATTAAAAATGGTTAATAGTTTAAAATTGCACAATAGGTTAAAACATGTATTAAAATCAGATAATAGGCCAATTATAACTGTTGAGCGACCGTGCTAGAACCACGGAATTCAGGAATGCCTAACACCTTCTCCCGGGTTAACATAATTCCTTACCCAGATTTCTGTGTTCGCGGACTGTAATACAGAGTCAATCTTTTCCTCGATTTGGGATTTAAACTGGTGACTTGGGACACCATAAATTATCCCGAGTGGCGACTCTGATTCTTAAACAAATAAATCCCATTTCGATTATCACTATAAGTTGGAAAAACTCCCTTATACCCTTCCGGGGGTGTAGGTAAAAAGGAGGTGTGATATTGTATAGATTTTTGTATTTCATCACCTTATTTGCTACCTCGTCCATGATATTTCCTTTTCGTCTTGTATTTAATTTTGCTAATCACACTTAAAAATATGGACGGTGATTTTTGCATGTGATTCTTCAATAGAAAGAACCCTATTATTTGATTTTTAAATTTTTGTTGGCTAGTTTTGGTAAGTCTATGACTAATGGCTAGAGATTGGTAAGTTGAGATTTATTTGAGACATTTGTGTAAGTTTCCCAATAAATAATATCCTAAATAAAATGTCTTATTTTATTATGGAAGAGCTAAATTTCGTTGCAATCAATATATTAGAAAATTTTAATGCAAAAGTTTGCGTCTTGTTGTATCTTCGTACAATTTTTGAACTCACAACTATAATTTGTTAGGACATAATCCACTCCTTAACAAAGTCAATTGACTTGAGGCAAACCAAGTTGGACATGCCACTTAACGCTCTGTTTGGATCATTGTTTCCCATCATTTTATAATGTATTGTACTGTATTGTATTATATCGTTTCGATGGATATAACGTTTGGATAGACTGTATCGTTTGTTGTTGTTAAATAACATCTTTATTAATTGGTTTGATTGTATTGTACTATACTGTACTGCTAAGTTTACTAAAATACCCTCAATTATTTTAAATACAATGCTTATTAAGAATTACTCATAAAAATAATTTATTCATTTGACCTCTGTATCTTCCTCATAGGGAATCATCATTCTACTATAATAGCAAAAGCCCCAAATCGATTTCACACAAACAAACAAAAAATTCACAACCCCATCAAAACAGTATAGACAACTGACCTTGAGTTCCTCACCTTTAATGTTGCAAATAATCCATAACTTAAAGTGTATAATATAATAAAAATTTCTAGCAATATGACATATAAAATTCATATCGATCTAGTCAAATTCTATAAAATCCTCAATAGCTAAAGCACAAAAAATATTTAGTCTAACTCAATTGTCAGGTGACGACATCAAGGTCAGTAAAACAAATTGCGGTCTTCCAATAGACACCCAATCAGTGTGTGACACAAGTCTGCATTTTTGCAAAGAAATATATAAGCCGTCATGTGCATACTAGGATCTAAATCCAACACTTGTACCATTTACCATATCTCACTCTCAGGAATAGGTGGCATAGTTGAAAGGCGATTAATTGCATTAGCCAAATTATTCATCCCACCTCTCAACATATCATTCATGCCTTTAAGATGATCATGTTTAGATTTTTTATTCCTGCTAGAAGTCGGTACCTCTAAATATGCATTTGATTTACGTGCTTCCTGAGTTGATTGATATTGCTCATGTTGTCCATGTTCCTCGATATTTTCCAAAAAGGCAGCATTCATGAAAATTAGTTCATCTAACTCATCAATAGTCAATGAGCTATCAATTGATTTTCTCAAATTATTACGAGCACCCCTTTTTACCATATCTGCTCCAGTCTCAGCTTGCTTTTCAGTAGCTCTATCCCTTCCATATAGCTCAATTAGCTTATCATAATTTCTAATCGGCTTGTTTCTCCATTCAGCAGCTTCAGGCTTAACCTACAAAAAAAAGTACAATATAATAATGCAGAAAATGAGATAAACATTATAAGATGCAAATAAAGAACAAAACTACTAAAAATAAATGTACATGTATTAATTGATCCCATACTTCAGATTCAGCATTCCACATATTTGTGTTGGAATACCATGCAAACCCGTTCATCCTATTTGGAAAGGTATCATAACATTTGCTAAATTTTGTTTTAATATTTCTCATTCGGTTGTGAACTCTCTCCTTGGTAAGAACTTTACCTGGAAATTTTGATTGCATCTCTTTCACTATATTGTCAATCGCGTATGCAATAAAAGTTTTACCAACCCTGTTTCCAAGTGTGTGCTCATGATAGAATGCATCAATTAAGGCATCATCCATAACATTTGATCAAATACAAACAGAAGTGTTATCTGAAAGATTTGTATCGCTTGAGGATGCCTTTGAAATATTGATAACTATATAATTAAGAGATATTCATAAGACTTAATGAAAACTTTATCAGACATAATATTTGTAAGAGTTATAAAATAAAATAAATGCATAGTACATAATATATTTTATTCAAATAATAGCCGAAATTACTTTCAAACAACATCAAATAAATAAACACAAAAAAATTCATTGACTTTTTCTCTCCTAGAAGATTAAACTTGATAATTAGCCCACATGTCAGCTGTCATGCCATCTCTAATCAACTCCCCCCTTCTAAACTCCTCATTGCTTTCCCTAGGATTTGGTGGTTCTTCATGCACATCATTATCATTCATAAGCTCCGCATCAACTTGTGCAAGTAACTCATCATTTGGATCTGCAACTCTTAAGTAGTTGTGCAAAATACAACATGCAAAAATAATAAGCTTTTGGGTTTCAACACCATATGACGGTTCAGTTAAACTGGAAATTATAGGAAATCTCTTTTTAAGAACTCCAAAAGCTCGTTTAATAGCATTACGCAAAGATGCGTGTCGCAGATTAAATAATTCACGAGGACCTCGAGATGAATTTCTTGAATACTCTTTCAAGTAATATCGCTCCCCACGATAAGGCATAATAAGTCCACTTCTCAACATCAATGCATCAACAAGGTAGTATTTTCCTAAAGATAAAAAGTAAAAGCTTTAATTATTTATTCATCACATCTAACTTTCCCTAGATAAATATATGAAATATTTGCCTTTTGAAAGTTTTAGCGGGTCTTGTCTATTTAACACTTCTTTCATGATTCTTGAATCAGATGTCGTCCCTTCCCAACCAGCTAACACATATGTGAATTTTTAATCAAATGTACATGCAGCCAATACATTTTGTGTTGGATAATCTTTTCTTCCACGATATCTGGGTGCTTCACGTTTTGAAACTTTAACACGTATATGTGTGCCATCAATTGCATCAATACAATCCTGATATTATTATAATAAATTATATGCAATCAACCTTGAATTTAACTAAAAGTTCAATAAAATTGTATTTGTGTTCACCTTAAAATATGGGTAGAATCTTGGGCTGCTGGCAATTTCAGAAGGAACTTGAGAGCCATCAGGTTGTTTAATAAATTTTTCATATAACCCCAAGATCACTCGCACAGGACAATATGAAAATGACGACTAACCGACTCCCCAGATCGTCGAAAGATAAAAGCTAACTCGCGATTCGTCGTATTATGTGCTAACAGGTAAAGTATTTTTGCAACTTGGTCTTCAACTGTAGCTTGAAATGTTGGTCTAAGATCACCCTCTCTAACTAATATCTCACATAGATCGGTAAAAGCTAAAGGGGTCATTCTTATAATATTACGACAAAGTTCAGTTGAGAATAAATGACTCAATAATTCATGTCTAACTTGTTCACTTTCCAGTCGTATATCATGTGTGATCGTACGTTGGTCATTTTCAATTTCACGTACATAAGTCCAAAACCAAATAGCTACTAAGCAAGCAGCATATGTAGCTAAAGAGCTCACTTGTTCCAATATCTGTCTATTATTTTGATTATTCCGATCAACCATCTATAATAAAATTAAGTGAGATGCATCAACCAATTGACCACGTAAAATAAATATGAACCGAAAATAAACTCTTCTTCATAGAACACATTATAAAGTATGAATATAAAGTATGAAGGAGAATTCAGATATATACTAAAAGGATTGTATAAAAAAGAGAATTCGAGTCAAATATTTCATCACATTACACTAAATTAATTAAGTAAACAGGAAAATATATAAGCAAATTTATTTGTTACAACAGAAGCCACACATAATTCATGTTTTATATTTTTTGTCGGTTTTGACTGTATCAAACTAATAACTTGGTGCTACACTTTAAACCATGATATTAACTTGATAAATTATATCGCCAAAACATATAGTTTGCAAATATCATAGATAAACTAACCAGAAAAAATACACAAGAAAAGAGAAGGAAAACTAACGTATTATTTGAGAAAAAGTGTTATTAATAAGTTATGGAGAAGACAAGGTATGAATCTTGATTAAGCACAAAAAATTGAATAGATATTTAGAAAAACAAATTTTCCACCAAATATCACTACATAAATTATTTTAGATTTTTGGGATGCAAGCAAAGATAATGCTGTAGATATTATTGCCATGTATATAAATGATACCTTTTTCAGCCAGTTTTTTCTAGGCACTTATTATTTAGAGAAAAATTCCCTTAGCAACAGTGGAATTAGTTAAGAAAGGAGATGAAACTTAACCTGTAAAAACTTTGTTGGAAAGAGACAAAGACTAGGGAAGTACGTTGTTGACTAGTTGCACGGTAGAAAGAAGATGGAGACAAAGTACTTATTAGTTTGGTGAATATAATATAAATAATTGGGTAAAGGGTAAAATTAAAATATAGAATAATAAGTGTGTGCATAATTGTTAAGGAAAATATGGAACAATCCCACCACATTGATTTGGTTGTTTCATAAAAAGGGATTTTTCTTTGTTCCGGAACAATGAATTTAATAATACAATACAATCAGTTTTATACTAACAATCAAAACAAATATTATATCTGGGGTAACAATACAATACAATACAACCAGAAACAACCATGCAAACAATACGTAAGACTTAAGAGGGCATTTTTATACATACTTACTTTTGGGCCGTTATTGAAGTTATACCTGTATTGTATAAAAAATTGTCAAAATTTACCTATCGGAATTTGAAATAGTTCTATCTTTCAATACAACTTCAGAAATTAAATTTTAAGTTCTTCTATCTTTCAAATGTAGTTTCACAAAATTTGAATCTTAAGTAATTCATCCCTTCAATGCAACTTCAAAAATCAAATCTTAAGTTCTTCTATCTTTCAAATACAATTTCAGAAAAATTGAATTTTAAGTAGCTCTGTATCATCAACGCAACTTAGGAAATCGAATCTTAAATTCTAAAACATAAACTTATTTTTCGAATTTCAATAATCCAACACACGGTCCAATGCCAAATCTATTCTAAATAAGCTCAATTTTGAAACATAATTTCAATTATCATAAAGAATAAACACAATCATTAATTTGTCAAAATAATAATAAATCTAACAAACCCATTTTGCAACTAATTATAATAATAATAAGAAGAAAGGCTCCTGGATACACGAGACATGAATACAGAGAAGAAAAAAACAACATCGAAACTCCTGGATATATGTGATATGAATATAATGAAGAAGAAAGTAGCAGGAAAGAAGAAGAGAAAAGCATAACTATACGAAGTTACCTAAAAATTAAGTATTAGTTAAACTTTTTTTAAAAGGTGGTTACACATTAAATTTGGGTGACCAAATAAGGCATCCCGTGAAATTTTTACCATTTAAGAGGAACGAAATATCCTTTTATAATTCATATTTAGTATTTTCAATCACTATCTCTGTTGAATCCCATATGGAAGAAAAAGATGGCCTTTTTACATGATCTTGAACAATCATCATTTCCTAAACTATTTTTTGGTGTTGTGTTAAATCCAATTTCTTATCACAAATAATACAAAATCATACAGAAACTAGATAACCGAGATTCAAGTGGATAGTTTTTCTTGAATTGAATAACATTTGGAAGGTTAGGCTGAAACTGTGACGACCCGACCAGTCATCTCATGAGTTACCGCTCCGTTTCTCCCATTTCTGATTTTTTATGCTTCATTATCCATGTTTTGTGGTATCAGATTGGTCGGATCGAGTCCGGAATGATTTTGATAAGGTTTGAGACACTTAGTCTCTTTTAAGAAGGTTTAAGTTGGAAAAGTTAATCAGATGTTGACTTATGAGTTAGAGGGATCGAATATGAGTTTTGATGATTTGGTTAGCTTCGGGAGGTGACTTATGACTTAGGAGCGTGATCGGAATTGGTTTTGGAGGTGTAGAGAAGATTTAGGCTTGAATTGGCGAAGTCGATATTTTGGCGATTTCTGGTTGGTAGGCAAGATTTTTGATATAAGGGTCGAAATGGAATTCCGAGAGTTGTAGTAGCTTTATTGTGTCATTTTGGACGTGTGTGCAAAATTTCAGGTCATTCGGACGTGGTTTGGTTGAGTTTTTGATCAAAAGCGTATTTCGGAAGATTTTAGAAACTTAGGCTTGAGGTGTTTTGGTTGATTTGGTGTTGTTTGAGGTGTTTTGATGGTTGGAACAAGTTTGAATAAGGTATTGGGTCATGTTGGTATTTTTGGTTGAGGTCCCGGGACCTCGGGATAATTTCGGGTGGTTAACGGGGAAATTGGAGATTTGTTGCAGCAGCTGATATTGCTGCTTCTGGTGTTTTTGTACCTGCGGTTTGGGGACCGCAGGTGCGGCACCGCACGTTCGGAAGGGAAGGCGCATATGTGTATTGGAGAAGTGGATTCATGAATCGCAGATGCGGTATGGGGACCGCACCTGTGGAGTCGCAGATGCGACGTCTGGACCGCAGATGTGGTATGTGGCCGTTAAGTGAGTTCCGCAGAAGCGGAGGTGTTGACCACGTATCAAGCCGCAGGTGCGACACCGCACGTTCGGAAGGGAAGGCGCATATGTGTATTGGAGAAGTGGATTCATGAACTGCAGATGCGGTATGGGGACCGCACCTGTGGAGTTGCAGATGCGACGTCTGGACCGCAGATATGGTATGTGGCCGTTAAGTGAGTTCCGCAGAAGCGGAGGTGTTGACCACGTATGCGGTACCGCAGAAGCGGATTTTGGACCGCATATGCGGGTATGCCTGGGCAGAACATATAAGTTATTTCATTTCGCGAAATTGGGTTATTTCACCATTTTTGGACCTCGACTTGGGAACTTTTGGACAATCTGGAAGGGAGATTTCAAGGGAACTTCGTTAAGGTAAGGATTTTGGAACTAAAACATACTTCTATGGTAATATTTTGTGGAGACTGAAATTTAAGGAATTGAAGGACTACAAATAGAGGATTAGGGCTTGAGTTTAAGAGGGCTTAGAATGAGAATTTGAGGGGTCGTTTGAACTCCGATTTTTGTATTCTTGATATGAATGAACTCGTGGGGAGATGAGGAATCTATTGATGTGAAAATTTCTGAGATTCGAGAATTGGGCCTAGGGCTCGAGGTTAGCTCATTTCGGGATTTTTAATATTTTCGATTGGTTTCGCTTGAACTTTGTTCCCTAAGCATATTATGACATATTCGTTCTGATTTTGGATAGATTCGACGCGCGTGGAGGCCGATTCGAGGGGCAAAGGCATTGCGAGCTAGAGATTTAGCCAGTTCAAGGTGAGTAATGATTGTAAATGATGCTCTGAGGGTTTGAAACCCTAGATTGCACATCGTAGTGCTATATTGAGGTGAGACACATGCTTGATGACGAGCGTGGGGTCATGCACTATTGGGGATTATGACTGGTCCGTCTCGATTGATGATTTTACCGCGTATTTGATTGAAACTTATTTGCTATCATCATGATTTGGGCTGATTTCCATATTTGGGCTTCGTGCCAACTATTTGAACCCTTTGGGGATTTTAATTACTATTTCCTCATTGTTCTGATTTATTACTTGAACTCAGTCATGTTATTTTCCACTGTCTTACTACTCAGCCATTTTACTCAGTTTTGAGACTTAAATGATATTTTAAATGATGTTTTGGGATGAGAAATACTGTTTTACTAATGCCCGAGGGGCTTGTGTTGATTTTCGGATTGAGTAAGGCCGAGGGCCTAGTTGTGAGGATACACTGGTACTGATATGAAGCCGAGGGCCTGAGATACATTATACGCCATGAGGTGGCTTGATTGATATGAGGCCGATGACCTAGATTTGATGCCACGAGATGGATTGATATTGCGATTGGGCCGTAAGGGGCCCCTCCCGGAGTCTGTACACCCCTAGTGAGCGCGAGTACCCATTGTGATGTGAGATTGAGCCCGAGGGGCTAGTATTGTTCTGAGATTGAGCCCGAGGGGCTGGTATTGTTCTGATATATTGCCGAGGGGCGGATTTGCTGACACTATGCCCGAGGGACGAACTTTTATTTGTTTACTTTATCTTAAATATCTGTCAATTACCTGTTTTACTGGTTAAAATAGGATTTTACTTGATTTTTACTGGTTTTACTGATTTTAAGTGATTTACTGCTTTATTATATACTGCTTTGTGTTTTACGTGATTTCTTACTTTCAGTCGTTATTTACATTTGTTACTCACTGAGTTGGAGTACTCACTTTACTCCCTGCAGTCTGCGTGAAGATTTAGGCGTTGCTGGTTCCGCTCCTGAGTGTTGATTCCTCCAGTTCCAAGTGGTTTTCCGGAGACTACGAGGTAGTTGTTGGCATCCGCAGCCCCGTGTCTCTACTTCTCTTTCATTTCCGTTTCCTTTCAAACATTTGTAGTAGTTTATGACTTTTGCAGACTAGTATTGTGGTTTAGAGATGCTCGTGACTTATGACACCCTGGTTAGGGCTGTGTCGGGTTGGATTTTCCGCAATGTTATCGTTATTTCCGCTATTCAGTATTATTAATCATGTTTAGACTATTTTTTTGTGTTGTTTAAC